AGGGTCGCCCATCCCTTTCAGGATGGCGACGAACGTCTCTTATGCAGCACGTCTGCCCCTCGGCGCTGACATGCCCGGGTTATCGTTGAGAGCTACCGCTCCTATCACATCTTGCATTCCCTCTCTCATACATTGCACCCATACATTACATGCATTCATGCATCATACCTCATACATTCATACATACACACGTGCATCATGTTTTGACAGTACCGCGACGTCGGTTTATAGATGCATGGACCTCTAAGCTTCTCCGATTGGAAAGCTCGAGTCAGAGTCCTTTACTCCCGCCTGATGCATTCAGGGGGAGTGTGCCCGTGGAGGAGCACCCTTCGCCCGACCCTGTCGGGAAGGGGGGTGCCTCACTGGTAGATTACGTTCAGGAGTGCAGACACTCACTCATATATGATGATTATGTGAAGACACAGTTTCCAGCAAGACAGAGGAAGAGCGCAGGCAGAGTATATTTTCTCGAGCAGATTTGCGAGCTCACTACTCAAGAAACTGGGGGACTTGTGTTGGGATATATTATCCCGGCCTATTACTGTTCATGAGTCCAAGGCTTTACGTAGTACGGGGCCCGAGCAGCTAGGTCCATTTCGGCCCATCCGGCCCACTTTAGCCATTTGGGCCCACTCTGGCCCGTTTGGCCCATTAGGGTGGAGAGCCCCTTCTCCCCTTCCCCTATTTATAGGAGGCTTCCCTCCATGTTTTAGGGATCCTCTTTTAGCTCCACCTCCCTCATTCTTTTAGACTTAGCTCAATACTCCATTAATGGGAGCTTGTACAATGTAATTGTGAGGAGAGTCCTAATGAGAAAGAGAGGGCTTGGACATTAGCCTAAAAAGTCCCGTGGTTTTCTCCCTTTCGGGTTTCCACGTAAAAACTGAGTTGTTCATACACATTTATACATATATTTACTATATCGTGTTGGATTAAACTCAACAACTTCTCACATGAGTTTTTACTTATGGTAAATACACTTACATAGTAGTTTCGTCCGTATATTAAGAACTCGCTTGGTTACTCTAAATTGATTACATCTAGAAAAATGGACAACAATAATCTCAACTATTAGTGATTTGCTTAAAATAATCCAAAGCATCATTTTTCTCAAAAAATCCCAAATATTGATAAAAAATCTCAAAATATTCCAGTGACTTATAATAACTAATAAACTACTTACAATGTTTACAATTCAGTGGAGCATTTTTGAATTTTTCAATAGTTAAGATTATTTTGAGATAGTTAATACTTTGAGGGTATTTCAAGCAGATCACTAATAGTTGAGATTGTTTTTTTTTTCAATCTTTACTTAAATATATTGAAATTGATGAAATTCTTGTTAAAACGAATGAATTGGCCGAATAGACCATAATGTAAAAGAATTTTTATAATACATTTTACTAATAAAATTTAAAAAAACGATAATGTAATTAAAATTGTCATATTCAACCATTTCAGTTAATTCAATTACAAAATGAATTACAATATTGTTTATTTTGATTGTTACATAATTCATCGGTTAAGTTACAAGCTTGATAAAAAGTTGACTCGTATTTGGCAAGTCTAACATAAAAGTTATCAAATAGACTCGAAATCGATGAGATTACGTTAGAGAAGTTTTAAAATGGAACATAGAGGCGCAAAATAGAGAATGTTTAGCCATGTGAGCTAAATGGTGGTTAAGCAAGACGCTTGAGTTGAGGTCTCGCATTCACTGACAACATTAGTGTGAAAGTTTAATCTAATGATGTGGTATGCACCGGGCACTGAACGGTTGAGCCAAGCAATAGAAAGGTTTGAGTTTTTGTTCTTTGGTAGAACCCTTCTAAATATCCATGGGGGCAAATAAGAAACATACAAATATCCAAAAACTCAAACCTTTCTAAACTAAGTGAGATTTAGAACACATTACTCTCACATTACTAATGTGAGAGTAACTTTTCAATGTTAGGGGCTTATTGTGTGCAACGGGCACTCCACTAACATATGTGCTCAATTGCATTATCATAATTTATTACCACTCCTATACTCTATCGGGTTGGAGCTTGAAGTGGGTGTTGGGTCGGGGATTCGATCTTTTCTTTAGATGAACCTATTTACGGTTGGTATCTGATTGGAAAGTTTTAGCTATTGGGCCCACCGCATATTTCTAGGCGTTCACATGATGTGGTGGGGACATATGCGCATGACATTATTCCTCCCCGTTGACCACAAGTCGTCCAAAACCACCGCACAGCACTGCCTCTTCATATACTCACTCATTCACACCCTCCTCTCAGATTGTGAATCTTCCCGCGAGACTTAATTCATTCATGGAAGACGCGAAGGTATGCTTTAACTTCATTTCTTCAGTGTAGATTGATAGATCGGCAACTCGACTGATAATAGACTTTGAAATTCTCTAAGTTCTTCGTTACTTTCCTTCCAATGAATCGCTTAATTTTGCTAGACTATAATTGGTTGACTTTGGAGCTTCATGATGTAGTGCTCCAACACATTAGAGCAATCTATCAACTCGATTAAGCAGTGGTTGATTAATTATATTGTGATCGGGTCTATCGTAATTCCTGAGAAGTTGTTTCTTATTTTGTACTGCTTTCTCATTGAATGTTGTTTAATCTTTAAAGATGCTTTCTGTAAGTAAGATAGAGAGAAAGAAAGAAAGAATATTATGAGGCATTTGAGATCATATGAAATAGCTAAGAAAATTGCACCTTCTGGCCAACAAAAGCAAGTTTGGTTGGTACTTTGAGATCATATGAAATAGCTCATTCTCTGATCTACCCCCCCATGTGACCTCTACATTTGCACCTATAAAATGAGATAATGATCATGCATAGAACATTTTTCAATTGTCATCCCCCAGCTCGTACACTTACAATATCATGGAAGCACAGCCATAGGCATCCCAAATTTATATTTAACAAATGATTATATCAGTGTGACGATCGACAAGACTTTGTTGATATTGATCCTTTTTCTTCTCATGTGCTTCTGTCTATCTAAGCCCTTGCCAAAATTTGGCGAGTGGGATGTCAATGACCCAGCTTCAGCAGAGGGATTTACTGTGATTTTTAACAAAGCCCGCGATGCCAAGAAAACAAATGGGGATAATACTGATGAAGCATCACCAAACCCACAAGGTGTCAATACTAATAACAAACCCACACCTGATCCATCAAACCCCGCACCTGTAAGTTTCTTTGAAATTGCGCAATCTGCTTCTTCTTTTCTTTGATGGGAGATATGAATGTATATGAAAGGGTCTTTTCCAGTAGTGTAGGTGACTAGGTGCAAATGGGTACTCTTCTCAACTACTCTGGTATCTTATACGTACGGAGTATGTGTTCAAAAATAATGAAAGTATTGTTTTTAGCAGGACAAATGGTGTGCCTGCATGTGATATCCACTTCTAGTTTCTTGATAACACTGTGGGAATGCTGAAAATGGGATTGAGTATGGCATTTTCGGTCTGGAGAAGCAATGGAAAAGTCTTGTGCTCAAATCTATTTTTTGTCATGTAAAATTATGTTAGTGTGGATGAAGATATACTAAAGACATGGAAGATATTTTGCTTATATCTATCTCTATGATTTATCTGGTCATACATATACTTCAGGGATCGATAAGCTCCAAAGTCATACATTCTTTTATATTGCTTAAATTTATGTGAGGCATTTGTGTCTGTAATTAAGTGTTGAAGTTGCTAGTCTACCTGTGTATTTTTTTTCAAAAAAAAAATGTCATATGCACAGCTCTGCAATTTTGAAAATTGGTAAAAAAAAAAAAAAAATAAGTAACTAAATGCTTTGGGGCATTATGCAAAAGGTAGATTCTTGGACTTTTTTATTGGGCATAAATTTGGATTGTTTTGTCCAAATTTCACCTTACAATGCAGACTGATGTTATACCTTAAATAGCCAAGCCAATTAAACAATGCAGCACATATTGCAAGGTTCTAAATAAACCCCATAGGGTTCGTAAAGGCATGAACCTAATCTCAGTTTCAGAACTACTCCGGACAGGCAAAAACCAGACCGATCAATGGCCTATTAATTTGGTTCTAGATCGGAACTGGTCCAGTTCATCCGCAATAGAACCGGACTAGCTTGCAGTCTTGCTTTTCTTTTTTTATTAATACTCCGTAATAGTCTTTAAGAACCCGAACTGGGTAAACTCAGGCATGGTCATGGTAAATCCTATCAGCCATTCCAAGTTATAAACGATAACAATTGAGTATTCACTCACAAATTAAATAGGATCATACTATTAACACATCAAGGATGGACCCTAGATTATAAGAACGCATTTTCACCCTTCTCAAATCCTTAAATTAAATAAAAATACTCACAAGTCACAATTCACAATTAAATAAACATTTGAAGTGAGAATGAAAGATTTATTTGTTATTAATTGAACGAAAGATATTACAAACACACTTCATAATTTAGTTGCTCCAAAACTAAAAACAATGAAGACCTCGTCCGAGACTTGATTCTAAGCTTCGAAACTAAAATCTGAATTCTTATCCTTCTTTAAGTAGGAAAAAATCGAATTTGGACCGAACATAGTCACATAGGGTTGTGCACTTGTGCACACGATTGTAAAAACTGTCTTCAATTCGCCCAAGTGAAGTGCATCCCATGCATGTCCCGTGTGCATATTTTAGTAACTGCCGATGCGCATATGCCCACACACGATGTGCACGACACCACGCATAAATTGGGATATAGCTCCTTCGCCGAAATGGTAGATAATAAAATATGCTATCCAGAACAAGTTGAATCACTTTATTTAGAATTAGATCATCCAATAATAAAATGTGGCTTAAAGGTAGCAACTCAATATCCATTGTAGCTTAATATTTTTTATGACAAATGTCGATAAATCAATAAGACATTAACTTCTATAGTTTCAATAACAATTTGTATTTTTCTCACCATTCCTGTTAGTTACTAACAAACGGAAATAGTAAAAAATCTACGAATCTCAATCTTTAGCAATGCATTTTTATATCATTTGACACAATTTGATGGTCCATGTGCCAACGAGGAAAAAATTGTTAACTGGCATAGCCGCAAAAGGTATTAAAAAAATGTTCATGTGTAAGGAATAGGGAAATGATAGCATAAATCCATATTGTTTCTAAAACATTTACGTAGTTTCTTTATATCTGCTACATGCTATGATGAACATTGCCAAAATATTCAAACTCTCGACTGCCCAAGCTTACGTTCAAACAAACGCTTTAGGAGAAAAACTTGTAAAAAACTAGCGCCAATAAGAGCTGCAGACTCATACAAAGCTTTGTGAAGTGCCCTTTTGCTCATTCCTTCATTCACTGCACCATTGAAGGTTGAAGGCTGAGTCAGAATTCATGCCAATATAGGCATATATAATCATAACACAGACCAGAAATTCAATATTAAAGCAAACTTATGAACAAACTACTATTCAGATCAATCACTGTTAAAAATTTTCAAGATCTCGTGCATGTAGACAGCATGAAGATAGATAAAGGATATAAATTGCAATGAATAGAGAGACAGAGAGAGAGAGAGAGAGAGAGAGAGAGAGAGAGAGAGAGCAGTCCCAGTTTTATAGACTTAAGAGTCTCCATGCGGGGTGACTTCTTTTTTAACAATAAGGTCCTTTTACAGGAAGAAATGTATTTTTCTTCAAAATGAAGTGTTTGGCAAGGGGGAAAAGGGCAGCCCTATACACATTGGCATCTCTGCAAAAGAGAGGTCCCGGAAGGATCCCACCAAAGAGGGCGAGCCTTTCCATGTCATTTTGACAGGAGGCTGCTCCCAAGACTTAAACCCATGAACTCTCGCTCACAAAGCAACACAATAACTAGTGCGCCAAGGTTCTCCTTCGATGTTTGGCAAGAATATGAAGAAAAAATGGCTCGAAATGGTAATTAGAACTCCACAAGGCATTTAGACCATAAGTTACTCCAAATATAAGGCATGTCTAGAAGCGGTTCTGGAGCAATGATCTTCTAGCCCACAACTGTGGTCAAAATATAAGCACTACTACTTGTAAATGGTTACATGGATTTAAAAATAAAATAAAATAAAAATGATCCAAGATTTAAAAAGTTATCACATGAGTGACCCAATAAGTGGACCATAATTGTGGGTTACAAGACCCTCACCGTGCTTTTGGACATGCTAAAAAAACTTTTAGTTGGCCAGAAGTTCTTGACATGTAAAACTGGTATTTGAACAGCTTTTTATGGGTCACTTTAAAAAGTAAAAAACACTTGGGATGTTTATACTTGGACTTAAATTTGTTGGTCTGGTCTAGTCTAGTCTATTTAAGTCTGGTCCGTTGAAGTTTGGTCTAGGACTGAAAATAGTGCAAGTAAAAACATCCTAACAAGTGCTTTTAAAAATAAAATGAAAAAACTTGCTATGGAGATGAATATCTGTTTTGGAAGTTCCAAGTCTTCCAACCAAAAGCACCTTTTGACCACATTGCCAAAAGTTATGTTTTTCTGAAGTACTGCTTGTAGTAGAAGTACTTTTCATCAGTATCACTTATTCTTAAGTCCTTATATCTGCTTCTAACAAAAAATGAAACAGGCCCTTATAGATTAGCCAAATTAGCATGTTGAGTTTAAAATTCAATTATAGAAGGGAGTATTTCATTTGTTAGGCGTGACATGCATTGCAACTGAGAATGAGTAAGCCAAGCCAGGAAACTGCATATATTCTGCAGAGAAGCAGAAGAATCCAGGAACTGGCTGCCAAAAGGAGCTCAAATTAGTCAGTCAGGCAGGAGAAAATTATTCTCACGTAGAGTTACCTATAGCTTGTCGGTCAGTCTGAGCCTCTAGCCAATGCTGCTCAAACTGAATATTATATAAAGCTTCCTCTAGCTTGCCAATGTGTTCAAACAAAGGCTTGAAATGTTCTGCACATGTGATACCAACCAATCAGAGAGAAGAAGGCCAATTAATGGAGATCATGAAGCATTCTTTTTAGTTACTCACCATCTTTTGCATGTTCATCATGGAACATAAAATGACCAGAATGTACATCGAAGTCTATGGTTCCATGGTATGGGGACTTATTAGTGAAACAGAAACGGTGAACTCCTTCCTGATGAGCCACAAACTCTGCCTTTTCACTTATTTTGTCACGGAAGTCGTGGATTTGCTCCCCTGTTGGTCCCTTCACCTGTTACATTCACCAAATGATTTTTTTCTTTGAAAAAAAACACAAATGCCTATCATCCATATATATACATGTAACTTGCATACACGTGAGTGTAGAAGAATAATGTCCACCTAGTACACGAAGAGTTCAAGATTTGAACTTTATGCCTATTTCCGTTGTGAATAACCAACCTTCAGGGTCATTTAGTTAAGGTAATAAATCTCACATTACCAAAGGTTTAGTAATGTGTGAGAACGAGAAGGAAAGATACCTTGTGTGGTCAGTTTTCCTAATTACTAGGGTAATCTAAAGTTGCCTCCATGTTGGGCCGTTGGGGCAACACGCTTACCTTACCTTCGGTTTAGGAATTGCAAATGCAACTATGTCCCTAGAAATTTACCGCAAACAGTAATCTTGCATTCCGCGAACCAAACAACAAGCAACTTAAGGTAATCTAGAGGGTGTTTCACAAGATGTCGATACTATTACCTAGGAAATGTAATGTTCCATTGATAACAAATGAATTTCCACGATTAACCAAAGGAAAGATAACAAATGGCATGTTGATCCTAATAGCAGTAGCTAAGAGTAATTGATTTCCAAACATCAGTACAATTAATCGATTATACAGAGAATATGAATGAGTCCATTTAAATTTCACAGTAGAAATTAGAAAACAATAAGGGAGAAAAAAAATTACCACAAGATCAACGCCATCTTCAGCGTAGTTCCAGGACTTCTCAGACTTAATCACAACAAAAGAAAAATGAACGGTGTCCCCCAATGCCACCTTATGCGAAAAGCATTCCTCCCTATCTATCACAAACCTGATCCCATAGGCCCCTCCGGCGCTCCACATCAGCACCGCCGCCGCCAGCGCGATCCAGCCTCCTACCTGCAATAATGATCAAGAATTCGTTTACTTTTCTTCTTCTTTTCTTTTGTAACGTATCCCCACTGCCGATGAAAACGAAAGAGATCAGAGGAGGTGGGTTTCTACCATCTGAGAAAAATTGATGTTCTTGGGACAACAAAAGAGCGATGGGAACAGAAAGATTTGGTCGAAGGTGAAGGGCGTGAGCAGCTCAACTGGAGATCGAAACTTAAGTCCTGGTCCTTCGTTGTTCTTGTCTGGACATGCCAGGCGTGTCTTCGGATGTGTTGGGCCAATGTACAGTGAAAGTCTTATGGAAATGCGGTAATGGGTGTATTTGACATTCGGTTGTTAACCATCAGCAAGTTATATTAGGGAAAATGGAAACTAATAATTTAACTTTTGCACCTCATGTTCATTCATTGGTCCTGGTCGGTTAATGACCTACTATTCCAAGTTATTTTCTTATTTTTGCAAAATATTATCTTTGTGAAAAATGAGATTTATGGTATAATGATTTGCAAAGATAAGAAAATAGCTTGGAATAGCAGGTCATCAACCGTAGTGTGTAGGCTCTGTCCCTGATGATGTCACAAAATGTAAAAAAACCCATATGACTTTATAGGAAGTCATATGGGTCTCCATAAATCTACCAGTTAAAAAGAGATAAAAAGATATCAATGCACAACATGTATGATTTGGGCGATAAAGTTTTCAAAGAAACAAATGAAATTCAGTGTATCTAAGTCACCCCTATATGGGTGCTTTCACTTATTTATTTACAAAATATTACTCCGTAGTAGAGTGTCAGACCTTGAACAATATCACATTCAAAAGATGAGTACAACTGAAATGAGTATGTTGCGTTGGATTCATGTACCTACTTGAAGAGACTGCTTAACAAATGAGAGGACCAGACAAAGAATGAGAGTAGCACACATTGAAGATAAGATATGAGAGTCTTAATTGTGGTGCTTTGTTCAAAACTGAGTGATACACATGTTAGATGAACTGAGAGGTGGAGAGAAGATGCATGGATGAGAAGGGGAAGTATAAACACTTTGTTATAAACTTATTCTTAGGTTGGGACGTATCAAATTACCTTTTTACTCTTTTGAGTGTCGAGTCCGAGTCTCGGACTCCGAAATACCCACTTCACTACAAAAAAATTCGGTTGTAGTCACGGATTTAGTCATAGACCCCAGTTTAAAAAATCCGTGACTAACTCCTTTAGTCACGGATTTTGTCCGTGACCAAATCCGTGACTGTTTGGGCGTGACTAAATTTAGTCACGCCAAATAGTCTGTGACTAAATGTAGTCGCGGATTAGTCACGGACTAGATCCGTGACTAATCTGTCACCGGAATAGCTACTCCGGCACTTTAGTCACGGCTAAGATCTGTGACTACATTTTTTTGGTTTTTTTATTGTAGTCACGGACGTGTCCGTGACTAATTTTTTTTTAATGCGGCCAAATTAGTCGCGGAAATATCCGTGACTAAGTTTTCAAATTTTGAAAATTTTCAAAAAATTGCGGTTCCTATTTTCAAATTTTTGAAATTTTGTATTAGTCACGGTCATAAATCCGTGACTAAAATTTTTTTATAAAAAAAATAAATTTTAAATTTATAAAAGAATTCCGGACTAAAAACTTAGTCACGGCTCAGATCCGTGACTAAGTTTTTTGTTTATTTTTTTAAATCCGTTTTTTAAAAATCAAAATTAAAACTTATTTTAATTTTTCTTACAAAAAAAATGTTGTTAAAAATATTTCAAAAATTTATCAGGAAAAAGATTATATTTTAAAAGTTAGAAATTATAATATTAAATAAAAAACAAAATTCATACACACAACACAATAAAAAGTTGTTACAAACTGAAATTATAAAAATAATGTTAAATGTTAAACTTAAAAATGTTCTATTACATGTCCGGCCGTCGGACTCCATTATGATAAAAACTAGGATTGTCATTATCATATTCATCATCATCCTCTTTGGGCTCCACGGGGTCTTCGGGTCGGGTTCCTCCTCGGCTGCCTCCTCGGTTGCTTCCACGGCTACCTCCTCGGCTCGCTCCACGGGTGGGTCCTCCAGATGACTGAAATTGATTCAAGAAACCATACGACAGAAATTCAAGAAACCATGCGACAGAAACCTCATTTTTGGTAAACTTTATAAAAAACTGTTTATTAAACACTTTTTATTAAAAACTGTTTTTTATTAAACTATTAAATAAAAACAGTTTTTATTAAACGGTTTTAGAAACTGTTTTTTAAACTGTTTATTCTGTTTATTAAACTGTTTATTAATAAAAACCTTTTTTATTAAACAGTTTAATAAAAAACCTTTTTCTATTAAACTGTTTTTATAATCTATATTTTATATTTTATTTCGGAAAATAGTTTTTAATGTCTAAATTATTATTTTATAATTAACATGTTAAACTTTGGGAAGTTTGACATGAGGGGTATTTTTTTTTATAATTCAGAAAATAAATTTTAAAATTTTTAAACAGTTTATATTTGAATTCGGAAAATAAATTTTTAAACAGTTTATTAAATGGTATTATTTTCGTAATAAATATTTTCGTTTTGAATTGAACATGTTAAACTTTTTTGCAAGTTTTAACATGAGGGGATGAAGGAGTAAATTTTTTAAATTAATTTTCAAAAATGTACGTAAATAATAATCCTAATATAGATATATAATTCATATATTCATGCATATGGTTTAATAAAAAACTAAATCATGTTTAGGCATGCATATTAAACATATACACGAAAAAATTAGGCATGGATATTAAACATATACACTAATTCATATTTAGGCATGCATTGTGTAAACAATAGATCATGCTTGACCAAAAACAATATATAACCAAGTATATTAATAATCATTGTGGATTTAAGACTAATTACATGCATTAGGCAAATCAAATATTCAAATCATGTATTCACACACAAAAAACCGAAATTTAATATACAAATAACTTTGAACATGCATCTTAACATTCGAATAAAAACACAAGTGTTTTGGTATTTTTTTGTCAAGAACATGTATACCTATACAAAAATAACATACATATTGAAAATTAAAGTATGTAATTGAGTATATAAATCTACATTCGGGTATAACAAAACAACAACAAAACATGCATTTTTAAAAATTAAAACATTTATAATTAATTGTTAAACTACAAAAAAATAGAAGTTGAGAACATAACCTTGATGGCGGTGGAAGGCGGCGGACGACGGAGGTGGCGGACGGCGGATAGAAGCGACCGGCGGCGGTGGAAGTCGTTTCGATATCAGTGGTTTTCCGGAAGAAACTTGCGGTAACAATCAAAGTAACTTGGTTTTTTTACTAAAAGTTAGCCAATTTGCACATGATTTCTCCATGCATATCGGACATCCCATAAGACCGTGTGTGCTCCACCCCGAAAGCATGACATAGGCAGGGAAGTCGTTAATGGTCCAAATGATGGCAGCTTTCATGATAAAATTTTGATCCCTTGAAACATCATAAGTTGGTGTTCCAATGGCCCAAAGTTCTTTCATCTCCTCGATAAGGGGTTGGAGATAAATGTCTATCTTTTTTCCTGGATCATTGGGACCCGGACAAATTAAAGTCAAAAAGAGAAAGTGACTTTTCATGCACATGTCGGGAGGGAGATTGTAAGGAGTTAACATGACCGGCCAACATGAATAGTTCTTCCCAAACCTTCCAAATGGAGCAAATCCGTCTGAACACAATCCCAGTCGCACATTTCGTGGCTCCATTGCAAACTGAGGATGACAACGGTCAAAGTGTCTCCAAGCTTCACAGTCCGAAGGGTGAGACATCATACCCTCTTTGGTTTCGTGCTTGACATGCCATGTCATGTGTTTCGCAGTAGCAGTCGAAGCGTACATTCTCTGAAGTCGTGGAGCTATTGGGAGGTAATACAGTTGAGATCATGCCGACCTATTTCGTGGTTTGCTTTTACTTTGAGGAACAGGTTTGTATTTGTCTCCACCACAGAACTTGCAGAATTCAAGTGCCTCATCATCCTTCCAGAACAACATACATCCTTCCGGGCACGCATCAATTTCTATACAAGGTAGCCCCAACTTAGACATTAATTGTTTCATGTGGTAATATGAATTGGGAAGGTTATGATCACGCGGTAGCATCCCTCCTACTGACTGCAAGACTCTAGTCATGCAAGTTTCAGGGAGACTGTATTCAGCTTTTATGTTCATAAACTGTAACACCGTCCCCAAATGTATTTACTTTTAAGTGAATATTGTATTGAACCTTATGAAATGGTTAATGATTATACGAAGTTGTGAATTTTATTATTTTTATTCGCGTGAATAGTAAATTTCGTGCGGGGCCCACACCGGGGGCGGGGGCCGCCCGATATTCCCGAGACCGTATATTTTGTTCATCTTGGTCGATATCATATTTACATAGAGGTGGATAATGTATTTGGTACAAAGAAATGGTATAGAGTTGACCGATCGATCAAAAAGGCCAAAATACCGGTACTGGTAATTTAACAGATAAAAGCCCGAAATGAATTTCGGGAATTTATAAATCAAAGTTGGGGGATGTAAATTCATTATAAGGGTCATAATGATTAATAGCACATAATATATTTTATTTGACCCGATAAAATAAAATATATTTAAAACAGTCCGAAAAATACAACTTTCGGGACCGATTGTACACTTCGGGACGAATTGGGATGACCTCCCACATGGGTGGGTGTCAACCCAAAGGGGGCTGATTGAGTGCTAGGAGGGCTGGAGGACAAGTGACAGGATGGGAGGAACACCTTTGACACCTAGTGGACCCCCATTTCCTTACTCATTTGCAAAGAAAGACAAAAGAAACTATCCTCCCTCCTCTCCCACTCATTGAGTTCGGCCAAGACACACCAAGGGAAGAAGAAACCTCTGCAAACCACCATCCTCCATAGCAAATTCGAGCTCAAGCAAAGGAGTTCCAAGGAGGAAGATTAAAGAAGGAAAAAGCTAGGAAAAAGTGTGAAAATTAAGGTAATGACCTTATCATAACTTTTCCTCTATTTTTCTTCTATCATATGCGATATATATCATATGAAGAACCTTGAGGGTTGTTCTACATAATTTAAGTGTAGAATAAAGGGTTGGAGAGTGGTTCTAAGTCCAAGAACGGATTTAGAAGCCAAACCGACAAGTTCACCGGAAAATAACCTTTTAGGGGTTATTTGTATTGATTAAGGTTTTATGATGTTAAAACCTTGTTAGGAACTTGATTAAAGTATTTTTGAGCTTCGCCGGAGTTTCGC